GTAAAAAAAGCCTTCCCCACCTTCAATAACTTTTACCCTCACCCTCTCTGTCATCTTCTCATTATAAGTAGACCCGTGAAGATTCTGGGTTAGAATGGGCCTTCAGCAACCCATACTTGCCATAAAAAGCGACTATGCTTGTCGTGAAAGGCGACTAACGGGATCGGGTGGTCAGGCTCGCTGACTTGGTTGATACATGTCATCGATCCCAATTGCGTGGATCGATGCTCATGATGTCAATCACTGGATTGTCTGGTTCAGACTCGATTATTTATACAGACCGCCGGAATATAGCCGGAATATTGCTCAGTGTGCGGCGTTAAACAACAAACAAACAAACGAAACATTATAAGTGCTGCCATTCCAGTCTCATTGTTCTCATTTTCCCCTGCGCAGTAACCTTTAAACTGCGTGTTGTGACAATAGTAGCGCAGGCCTACCGAGTACAGCAGTGTTCATTGCGACACTTGTTGCACTGGAAAAATGCATGCTCATATACAGCAGAAGCGTGTCATTTACCATTATTTTAGTAGTCAGAACTATTCCAATTGACATAATTACATGCTTTATGATGAAACCAAATTTAATGGCTTTTTGATCAAGGTCTCGTAGATTAAAAATTATGATATTTTTCTATGAAGAATAAATGTGAGAAATAAAAGTTCATTTGTCCCATATTTAATGAAGCCTCGACTGTTTGAAATCACCCACCCTCTTTACACTGCCTTTTGCTAAAATTAATCCAGCAGGCAGGGGTAAGACGTGTGAAAACAATTCAACAGGCAACCTTATAATCACCTTCAATTAAGAGGGAAAAGAAAATATGCTACAATTTCAACTCATAGAAGCAAAGCAATATTAACTTAGGGTAGGGCCTCATATGTAAAATAATTCTTTAGCCAATGTATTTGATAGCTTCATCTTTGATTGGTAATCATGATGCCCTTTGGGTATTCATGCTCATTTATCCCCGTCACAGGAACCTCACAAAAAGGTAGCAATCATATTTAAGACCCACACGATCCTGTAAATGGCCTACAAAAATCTTTGCTTATGGATCAGAAATGAGAGATATGCCAGCAATAATGGACTACTTTGCATGCAAAAATGACAAGAAGCAGTATTTCACTTCTTAGTTTACTATCTGACTCGAATACAAGACGATATAACTTTCGGAAATATTTGATTAAGGAGCACTTCAGTGATGAATGTGCATTTAACGAGTTACCAAGGGTCTGTCCTTGCACTTGAACCATTCCTCCACCTTGAATATGATATGTAGATTAAATGAGACCGCTCATGCACAAAACAACAGCCATTAATAATCCAGATATGTTTTGTTTGTATGGAGGTGATTTTGATGGATTACAACTGGGAAAGAAAACACAGCCATGACAGGAGATGCCTGACTAAAGTACTGATATCAGGAAGCCATGGCAACAAATATAGTGTTTAGAAGTTAAAAAGGCTGAAGGGGTTCATGTATCATTTCTTGTTTGATGCAGATAGTGAAAAATGTATAGGAGGGTTCCAAGATAGAGTTTGTCCACAATTGGACACAGTATTGTAGAGATATATGGTTGTTTCAACAAAGGATAGTTTTACCTGATGTGTTTCACTGACTTGCTTAAAATGTCTGAAAAACACTATTGAAAGTGTAAGATCAATCTATGTTTTGTGATAAAGGTTTAACATTAAGAGATGAAATACTGCTAAGTTTGAAAAAACAATGAGCAGCTGAAAATGATTCTTTCGCACTTGGCATCCTGTTATACATTCCATTGTTATATCAATACCTTTGAGATGGGGCAGGTTTCCAGGTTAGAATTGGTCCCCATCAAAAATGAAAGAACGAATAAAGAATAACATTGCTGTGTTCAAATATTTACTGACTAGATAATATTTCAAAATCTATTTAAAATTCGAATTAATAAAGTAAAATTATTACTGCCTGTGGACTAAGACCCGTTAATCTTTCTGCATGCCTCACTGATGACCACCCCCTCATTCACCAACCCCCCATCTATAAAGGTGATAATTGTTCCATTGTTGCACAAGATTTGTCTAATTTGTTTCTTGAACTTCAAAGTCTGACAACAGGGTGTCCAACAAGTGATGTCTAATAATGTGAGGTTATGTAGGCAAAGAAATAAGAAAATCTCCAGCTTTAGATGCATATTTCCTTGGGAATTGGCTGCAGTGTAGACTGAAGGTTAAAATAGTCTTAAGGGTAGTCTGTCTGCACAACCTAACCTGTGTTTGAGTCTGCACATAGGTACGTGTATAGCTCATTTCTGTCTCCCACTGTGATAGGGCTTCAATAATGAATATTGCTAAAGGCGATGTACAATCCTGCTCAGCTCTCTGATGTTGAAACACGACGTGTTGCGGGATTGTTTTGACATGTTAGAGCTGGCATGTACTGCTTGCTCAGCATTATAATGTTTTTCATAACATGGTAACACTCCGAGCAGGATGAAAGGCCTTGATTGATTAACACTGAAGTAGTTCATCATCAGAGAATTGTTGAGGACTAATGTTCTATATTACCAACTCCATATGGACCACAGATGTTGTGATCAGTCTGGCTGGAAAGAATCATGTACATTAGCTTAATCCTGGCACTATAACTTTTTAACAGGTTATTTAATTAGTTATTTCATGTTATGTGCTGCACTTAGATGATTATATTCATAGAGTTCTGCTCCAAGTGCATGAAGAGGTTCGGGATGAAACCTCATGATGTTTCTCCAGTTTTTACATTAATCACGTATACATTTCTTTCAAGTCCCTGATGTAATTATGTGCATGTTTCATGCCCCTGTGGGTATCCCTGGCAGAACAGGTCCCCAGTATCCAGTGGTTGTTGTAATAGCCGACAAATGAGTATCATTACAATGCTTGACCTGTCCCTGATGGTGTGGGTCACTGCTCAAGGAGTCAATCATTGGTCTGCCGGCCTGGGCTTGTTCAGGTTGCTGTGATATAATTGTAATATCACTGACTGGATTGTAAACAAGCAACATTCACTCACTCTGCATTTAGTCAACATTCACTCACTCAGATTTATATTTTGTTTGTTGTTTCTGCCGCATCAGCATGCCCAGCAATATTCAGGTGATCCTAGATCATCAGTTCCTTAACCTTGTTGTAAGAGAAGACTAAAGGGGTGATTTGGGGTGAGAAAAGATCAAAAGTACTTCACACTTGTCCTAAGAGAAGAGTAAAGTGGCGATTTTGGGTGGGAATAGATCTCCAGTACTTCACACTTGTCCTAAGAGAAGACTAAAGTGGTCATTTTGGGTGAGAATAGATCTCCAGTACTTCACACTTGTCATAAGAGAAGAGTAAAGTGGTGATTTTGGGTGAAAATAGATCTCCAGTACTTCACACTTGTCATAAGAAAAGAGTAAAGTGGTGATTTGGGGTGAGAATAGATCCTCAGTACTTCACACTTGTTATTTAAGCCAACTTACATTGTAATCTAGGGAACAGGCTTAATGACTTGGCTGATGGTGATTGTGACCGTCCTGATGGCAGGAATCATGCTATAGTACCAACCACTGGTTTGCCAACACTTGATTAATATGCTGCTGTCATATAGGTGGAATATTCCAGACTGTGGTGTAAAATCAAAAAATGAAAAACAATATACCATTTATGCTGTGAGAAGTACAACATATGGAGGTTAGCTATACCAGAAATGGACTCTACATATTGTACGCATGTGGGGAATTGAAGCAGGGCCTTCTTCGTGAAGAGCAGACACTTTAACCATTAGGCTACCTCACCGCCCCGGGAAGTTAGAAGGTGTGTAAGAAGTAAAACACATGTGGGAATGGTTAGGGAACATGTGTTTTTTGTGTGATGCATTATGTTTGTTCACATACAGGTGCAGTGCTTATAGCAATATACAGGCTGTTTCTTCATTAAGTATTCAAATCTGGCATTTTTGTTGATGTTTTGTTGAGTTTTGATTATTCTATATCAAGCAGTTATATTTAAGAAATGAATTATGGATTTATTGGCTTCTGACAGATTTATGACTCTTTTAAGGGTTCGTTTTTCCTGTGTCATGTTGTTAGTGAGATGTGGAATATAATACTGCAATCAGTGTGATGCAGATGGTTTGTTGATGAAGATGAAGTCAGAGTTTAAATAAGTGTACAAGTTAATCCGAGAAATATTGAGATCTGGGATGAAACAGAAACATTTATTGTTCTCTTCTTTCATCTATCAGCCATGTATGGTTGTACAGTAATAATGGTGAAAACAATAATCCATATACCAGTGACTTTTGACCCTTGAAGATTCGTGGTAGAATTGGTTTTAAAATGTGACTGTGCTTGTCGTAAGAGGCGACTAATGGGATCGGATGGTCAGGCTCGCTGACTTGGTTGATGCATGTCATCGATCCCAATTGTGTTGATCAATGCTCATGATATTAATCACTGGATTATCTGGTCCAGGCTCGATTATTTATAGACCGCCATCATAAAGCTAGAATATTGCTGAGTGCGGCGTTAAACAACAAACCAACCAACCAACCAGTGACTTTTGTAGTTTTGTCAAGGTAGATGTGCTACTGACAATTTTTGTGTGTGGGATGATTATTAATAATGTCCGTACTTAAGTTTGTAAAAGCGAATTATATGTTTTCCCAATTTACATGTATGTTTGACAAATGATGATAGGCTAGTGGTTAAAGTATTAACTAACCTTGCAGAGAAAGTTGAACCCAGTTTCTGGAAAACAAAACAAACATGAAATATTCTGATAAACTGAACAAAAGCATGGAATTACATCCTACTGAGACATTTGCTATGTGAAAATCAAGAGATTATTATTTTGACTGATCCACTGTTATATCTCCAAGAAAAGAAAAAAAGGTTGATTTTGTTGTTTCTTACATAATACATTGTATCTGCAAATCTAAGAAAATAAAATGCATTGTCTTTGTAGCCATTCCCTAATCTTCCGACAATTTTGATATTTTCCAGACACAAAATCCGCGTTCCAATGTTTGTTCCCGAGTCATCATCCCCTCTACAGAAGTTAACCAGTTGGTTCCTCGGCCGCCGACCTGAATATGTGAACCCTAAGGTCGTGGCACAAGGTGAAGGTCGTGAAGGTAGGTACACTTGCATCATGGTTCCATCTTGTCAAATCATTGAATAGATACTAAGTAAACTGTGGACAAGTTCAGTTAATCAGGAGTTTCCGACCTATCAGAGACTGCAGATATTGGCAAAAGAGGAGCTGCTATTTCTTCTATACAGTGAGATGAGCCTAATTTTCTTTTCTCCACAATTGTAAAGGACTGCTGCAGGAGGTTGAATGATGGATCTACCACTTGATTATGTCCTGTGCGGGCATGAAAAGCACCATTGCATTTGGCATATTAGATGGGGAAAAATATTTGAAGAGGCATCAAGGGCACAGATGTGAGGTCGGAAGTTAGAACCCGCCCATTGTCATATTTGTCAAATCTATCACTCTGGGACAACGAACATGAAACTGACGATGGGAAGTTATTTCTTGTGTTGACATTTGAGGGTTGTATATTGCAGTGGGGACATTGAAGTCGAGATGGTTTATGTGGTGACATTGATTGGCCCTAAAACTACAAGCTTTGTGAGTGACAGGTGGACAGAATTCCATGGAGGATTAGGATCAGGGTTTGGCGGGTTGCAAAGAATGAGATATTTACACAACCTTGACAGGGATGTCTTGAGATTTAGATTTGCAACTAGGATTGTTAATTTCTTTGATGTTTTTCTGATGATTTCTTTGAAATCTGGGTTGTTGCACAGGTAATGGGGACTGTTGCATCAGAGAGGTTTGAGTGATTGCATGGATTTAATGCACTGTATTGTATCCGTCTCCACTGTGTTTGGACATGGACTCATTGTCACCGGTCGATATCACAATGTTCATTGTAGTCATAGTTTGAATGGCATCATTTTATCCAGTTGATTAATGATATATGGATTTGGAATATTAGAAATTTGAAGGCTGCTGTGATGTTTATGTTTCATGTTTTGATTAACATAAAAAGAGAATATTTGGGGAAATATGTTGATTGACACCAGTCTCTGAAATTGCATTCTTGTTTACTCATCATTTTTTTTGTCAATCATATTCATTAAAGGGCTGCTACTTAACACAGAAGTTAGTTAGTTTGTGAGGACTCATCCCAAAGTCCTCCTTTTATGCGCCATTTTGCATTGGTTGATAATAATTATGAAGTTTATTCTATCAGAAGTTTATTACTCTGGAATCCAAAGGATGAAATATAATCTACAAGTAAACGAGGAATGACATTATGTCAGGGTAAAAAATGGTTATTTGATGTGTTGAGTATGTTTTTGTTATGAAGCTGGGGACAGAGTTGAGGAGGGAATTTGCAACCTTTCCCCTCCTGTTGGTGTTTCATCCAAACCAATCCCAGTGTGGGGATGAAATTTTAAAATTGTCAGCATCATCGAAATAAAAACGATGAGGCATTATGTTCAGGATATGAATATCACTAATGACAACATTGTCAGTATTGACTCAAGAGTGGGAAGGTTAACACCAAGCAAAGATACCATTGACCGCCTTAATTACTTGACAAGAACAGCTCTCTCTGAGGACTTTGGTAATGTAGCAGTCAGCTTGGAGTTTGTGGATGGAGACAGTTTGGAGTAAAAACGCTTTGTACATGAATGGCTTGTTTGCTTAGAGAATTGATGTGGATGCGTTGAAGTGATTTGTACCCTGATTGGTTAGGCTGCCATGCCATGACCTAAATGACATTGATAATTAAGGGAACTTGTTAAAGTTGTAAATTTATGTCATATATCCCTTTTACAATGTTTAGCTTGTATGCTGTAAACCCATAATAACACACCTGAACCGCAAGTTTACAGTGAGCTTATGTCTTGATGTGTTGTATGATGATCCATCCATCCATCCATCCATCCATACATCCATCCATCCATCAGTTCGTTAAGTTTTAAACTGTCTCTGAAACAGACCGCCTCCGTGGTCTAGTGGTAGAGCTTCCGCCTGGAGAGCAGAAGAGAGAGCTTGTTTGGCGCTCTGCATTAAGGGGCTAAAACAAGGACTGGTCGGCTCAGAGTCAGTATACTGTGTCGGAGTGCGGTATTCATGTTAAACGGAGGCATGGTATCTCAGTGGGCTAGCACTATAAATAAACATCAGTCCAGACTAGTACAAGCAGCCACACACACACACACATGCATGCACGTTGCTATATAAGTGCAATAATCTTAGTACAACGTTAAACCCCATTTCATCTCACCTCACCTGTCTCTGAAAACACAATGCCTGTAATGCTGAAACATTGTATGGATGATCTCAGCAATGGTGTTTCAAAGCTGCTTTGAAAAGTTTACTTCATTTGAAATAAGGCCACCTCATGGTACCGTTAACTATATCGAAAGAAAGACCTTGGTGGCATGTTCAGAATCAATGTTATCCATGGTTATTTTTATATTTTATTTTCTTCCCATGAGGTTACCTTTGACATTCACATACAACTTCTCTGAAACCAGCTCTGTTATCATGTAAAGGAAGCTAAAATTCTATGATGCCAGCAAAAATGTCTCTTTAGCAGGCTTAATTCATGGCAGCACTAATGAATTGTCATTTTGACATATCTTTGAGACAGATTTCAGTTGAGTAGGACTTTTAAGTTGAAATGAATGGCGTTGAATGTTTTGCACTTTTGTTTACTTTGACTATAGCCCTTGAATCTAGTGAAATTAATTTTATCATCTCGAAAGTGTTGATAAAACTAACATTTTTACCTCTCCTGACTGAAAGTCAGTCCGTCTCCTCAGAAACCATTAAAACAATGGAACTGAAACATCACATATTCGTGACATCCCAGTGTGTTCCATATGGTCACCACGGCAGCCATATTGGGGGAAAAAGCCATTTTTGTTCAAAATGCACTGGACTGCCTCTGTGGTCTTGTAGTAGAGCCTCCATTCAGAGAGCGGAAAGTTGGGGTTCGATCCCCGGCGATGTCATACCAAAAGACGTTAAAAGATGGTACTTGTTGTTACCCTGTCTTGCGCTCGGCATTAAGGGGTTAAAGCAAGGACTGGTCGGCTCGGAGTCAGTATACTGTGTCGGAGTGGGGTATTCATGTTAAACTGCGGCATGGTATCTCAGTGGGCTAGCACTATAAATCGGCTGGTCTCGTCTAGTACAAGCAGCCACACACACATACACACGTGCATGAACGTTGCTATATAAGTGCAATAATCTTGGACGTGACGTTAAACCCAATTTCACCTCACCTCACATCTAATAACTGTCATAATTTTACATAAAGTCATGGCATATCGCTAAAACATAGTAGGAACCTGTGCACATAACTTTGAATTATCCACAGTTTGATGACAAGTCTCATGTAACACAGGGATTAATGATGTAATATGGTACATAAACCTTAGAGGTATTGAGTGTGTTCAAAGATTGTTGCTGTGGGGAACGGAAGGGTTAGTCAGACACTAATTTGATTTATATCTGCACACAAGGTCTTTGAGTTTTTTACATGTACTTAGTTGCATGAAGACATAAATATTACTTTGTACATTTCAATAATAGGTTGCACTGGTGCATGGTTTGTATACATAAATCGAGCCCTGGCACCATTCCAGCGTTTGCTGGTTTCCAAAAAAAATGGTAAACATCTAAGACCTGTATTATCTCAGGCTTATCTCCCACACTAAGCTGACAAGCTGTTATGTTCCTGGAACACTGTTAATACCGGCGTTAACGTAGCTCACTGACATTTTTCAAATGCCTTTTTTCAAAGTGTTGTTACAATTTTCCAGACTTCACAGAATTCCCTAATTTACCCTGTTTTCAAGTCCATGTATTACATTTCAGTGACGAGAGTCCGTTCGCAAGGTTTTGTGACCATCTCCATGAATGTGATCATGAAAGACATGAAGAAACTGGGTTACGATGTCGTCCCGTCTGATGTCAGCAGTCCCAGCATGCCAGAGTCTGTAGGTGTAACCACGGCAACAGAGGCTTGAAGAAGATCTACCATTTCTACCAAGTTGGCAGCAGTTTCTACAATGTCAATTTAATTTTAACCTTTGTGTTAAGAAGAGAAATTATTTTAACATGACAACAAGCAAATTTTATCCTATGCTTTTTTTAACCCTAATTTTCTGAAAATACTAATTACAGGATTTGAGAGTGAAATCAGATATGCTCCGTCTTCAGGTTTATCACATCATGACGTTGAAATAAGTGAAAGATGATTAATCATGAATATGATCATGATAATGAAAGGTTTGGATGTATTGGATTATAATTTATATCATTGCCTTTTCATCTGTTTTATTTCTACTGCAGTTTGTTTTACAAATAGTGATACATCACAAAAACAGACGTGATCTGTGGAGTCGTGTTCAGTGTTAGGTCGTATTTGGTCCTAGACTTAGGACATTTACCATGCTCTAGTTGTATATGGTGTACATAGTTCAGTTAGCTGACATTCATTACTACTTTTATACATTGTATCTGCATACAAGGTCACAACTAAAATCATCTTAGTTATCAAATATGTATTCATATGTATATCTCATCATGTGAAGGACATATTTGGCCAGTTGTGGTGTATATATACATGTTTTTATTGTATAATTCTGTCATTCCACATCCGTCCATTTCAATTGTTATCAAGTACTTACTGAATTAAAGTCTGTATATTTCAAAATGTTATTTTTTATTGTTTATCTCAATTAATGCAAACTATATGTCTGTGTGAGATATGTATATATATGCTATTCCACTTTTGATAGCGATATTTATCTTTCCTTGATATACAAAACTAACTCTCATGATATGTCAAGTGTACATTAAATAGAATGGTATACTGTAAATATTGAAATTAATGCATCTCCAAATTAATATGACTGCTGACCCCTAGCCAGAAATGTGACTCAATATCAATGCAACTCCCCACACCCCATCCCCAGTGGAATGATACATATCCTTACTTTAATCCGGGGCGGTCGGGTAGCCTAGTGGTTAAAGCGTTCGCTCGTCACGCCGAAGACCCGGGTTAGATTCCCGACATGGGTACATTATGTGAAGCCCATTTCTGGTGTCCCTCGCCGTTATATTGCTAAAAGCGGTGTAAAATCAAACTCACTCACTCACTTACCTTAATCCAATCAAACACCAAATAGCTCTGCTTAATAGCACTGAGTAAAGCACTTCCGTTATAACAATAAACAGTGTTTTCCTAAAAACAACACACAGTTTATATGTTTATTCTGTTGACACACTTTAAGGTAGTTCAAAGGGTAACAAGATAATTGAACCAACAACAGTTCACTGATTGGAGTGGTCAACGATGCCTAATTTGACACGAGAGGGTAGAACTCTTGACCCCAGCAGTGATAACTCACCGGATGCCTATTGCGTAATTCCTATTCTTTGAATGACATTGGTATATACTTGTTAGCTCAATCAACTGTGTTTGTGTTTATAGTCTTGGTGGTATTTCTGCTATCCACATAGTGCAGTGAGGCCGTGCAAAGACCACTCGCATTTTTTGCATTTAATTCACGCTTGCTTAATTTCAAGATTTACAGTTTCTGATTATCCCTATCAAAAGAGTGGAGTAGTATATATATCTGTTATGTAAGTTTTACTGAGAAATCTGATTGTAAACTAAAACACCTGCTACAAAAGCCACTCAAAAAACAAAAAATCCATCTTAAAACCAAAATAATTGACAGAATAACTAAACTACAAACAGGCCACACTAAGTTTAACTCCCACCTACACCAAATTAAAAAACACCAAACCGGTAAATGCCCCCACTGCAACTTAAAAGAAAAGCCTGAACATGTTATACTATATTGCACACATTACCAGCAACACAGAACAACACTCCAATCCACACTAAATTGCAACAATTAAATGACACTCGCAACGGTACTAAACCCCCTAAATGACCCTAAAAGTACAACAAACAAGCTGTCAATAAACCCTTAAATTCTAAACCTATAAAAACACACAAACTTCTTTTAGTCTTCCCCCTCCCCCTCCACCTTTTGCATGGCATATTTCAAAATCCCAAATTTGTTCTCCAAATTAAGTAAGCAACCCTAAAAAGACCCACCTAGGTTGCCTCACCTTTTCGGACATACCCTTTTCGACCAAACACCAAATGGCCTGGGGCCCATGCGCGAAATATGCATATGTCGGAAAGCGCACGTTAAATTCCTAATTTAGGTAAGTAAGTTTTACTGAGATGGAGACACCTGTATATCCGCAAAGGATGCCGAAGTTTGAATCGGTATGCATATACTGTAGAATGTCCTGTTCTTGAATACCATGTGAGATGGCAAGGTATTATCAAATGTCTGCCACTGCAAGAAATACTTCAAAACTTAATGCTTAATTCCATACATCTTCACAGATGTATAATTTGAAAGTTTGATTTGTGTTACCATGCAAGCTAATCTTGTATCTTCCACACAGACAGCACCGCCTCCGTGGTCTTGTGGTAGAGCGTCCGCCCGGAGAGCGGAAGGTCCAGGGTTCGATCCCGGGCCGCGTCATACAAAAAGACGTTAAAAGATTGTACTTGTTGTTACCCTGTCTGGCGCTCGGCATTAAGGGGCTAAAACAAGGACTGGTCGGCTCGGAGTCAGTATACTGTGTCTGAGTGGGGTATTCATGTTAAACTGCGGCATGGTATCTCAGTGAGCTAGCACTATAAATCGGCATGAGTCCGGACTAGTACAAGCAGCCACACACACACATACACGTGCATGCACGTCGCTATATAAGTGCAATAATCTTGGACGCGACGTTAAACCCAATTTCACCTCACCTCCACACAGACAGTAGTTAGGGCCCCCTCCAAATACTTGTGTTTCAGGTAACATGAGCATTAGGTAGGTAAAAAATGATTATGTTTTTTCCATGTAAGTCTCAAGTATTCTGAAGGACTGGTTACAGATGTGATTGCAATAATCAATGTTGTAGGTAAATTGATTGGTTTGTTGAGTGTTTTCGTGTGCCAGTGTCTGTCTTTTCTTTTCTTCTTTTTTGTGTGTGCAAAAACAACCAACTGCAAAACCCCAAGTCTTATACAGTTATTTTCGTGGAGAGTATTTTTAACTGAGTTGGTGCACCATGTCTTACTACTTTCGTGTCAAGGTTATTGTCATGGTTGCATACTATAAAGTACTTAAGAAATTAATTAGTCCCATCTTAACAAAAGATTCCTTCACATTTTGATTACATGAACATGTTGCCTGAGACAATAAAATATTATAAATGAGTAATAGATGCCCAAGAAAACAATTTTCAGATATATTCATGTGTTTACATAGATAATGTGTCAATTATAAATAGAATGGTTGGGCAGTGAATAAACAAAGGAACTATTGATGCTGTAAATAGTCTGTGTGGTGCATTGAATAGTATCTCAGTTATTTGGCAACTTGTCAGTGTAGTGTTGGAGGAAATCCAGAGTGTAGCAGGACAGAGACTCTGACCACTTTGGTGCAAATATAAAAAGTCGACGCCAGAGAATAACCATTCTCGATTATCTGCCGATAACAGATACCATAAGACAAAAAGGCAAATTACGGGTGAAACTTATATCAATAGGTCACAAAAAATGAATGATGACACCATCGCAAAAAGATTAAGCATATCCTGCCCTACTTGTAGCACACACCACTCACACAATTTGCAAAAAATGTGGATATTTGTTGCCTGATCCCCCACAGCATTACTCCTGCCATGCGTCGGCCTGTTAACAAACCAGCGGATCAAGTGATGGCTCAGAAAGTCCAGTGTCACAATTGTGCATGTAAAGAACTCACAGCATGAGTATTATGCTAACAAACCAACAAGTGCAAATTGTAATTCGAAATACCAAGTCATCAACTTGTTTTCAAACCATATCATGACCTTTGTTTGTGTGCTGCTTACGCTGCACTCAGCAATATTCCAGCTATATCTAAAAAATGGAGTCTGGACCAGACAATCCAGTGATTGACATCATGAGCATCCATCCTCGCAATTGTAATATGATGACATCAACCAAGTCGGTGAGCCTGACCACCCAATCCCGTTAGTCGCCTCTTAGCACAAGCATAGCTGCCAGCAAGAATTGGTTGCTGAAGACCTATTCTACCCCGGGACACACTTTTGACCTTTCACACCTCAGTTGATGCAGAAAGTTTAATGCTGGTGTTATTACTTGGTTGAGGATTTTGTATTGTATATCTGCTGACATGTTCCACAAACCGATCGTAGCGCTAAGGTGGTCCCATACTTGCGACATTAACATTCGTAGTAATAAGATGGCTTTGAGGAACGGCCAAGAACAAGGAGGTGATTTTGTCTATGCAACTATTCAAAAAGGGTTGTGCACCATTAGTGTCAGACTAATTTGGACGTGTCCCGTTACAAACGTACACCTATTAATAAGTGAAAGCTTAATGCCATTTGCCAGTAATGGGCTGTACTCCCAATAAGCCTTGGTCACAGAAGCAGAAAAAAGACCCAATAAGGGGACTTCGTAAGGTCAGTAGGCCCAGGGAAAAGGTGTGTCTGTGGCATCACCAGTGTATTATGAGCCTTCGCCAACCAGTGTCATGACAATACAAGCTTTAGGTGAAGGAGCTACCAGGATTCATGAAATGAAGCTCGCTATGGCATACACAGACGAAACCGCAGTTAAATTATCACTGTACGTTTAAATCACATAATTATCCAGTATCCCACTTTCGTGTGTAAAGTCCGAAACCCTAAATAAATAATTGTTAGTATATAGTCTTGTTGACAATAAATCTGTCAAAACCTCAGCGAAAGCTCGGTTAGTAACGAGTCAAGGCAACACCAAATGTTCCCTCGACCTCACATTAAAGTCTTTAGCTATTTGCAGGTAAGAGCTGTCTATTCTCCACACGCATGCACATACTCGTTACACGTTTACATTAATTGGTAATATAGTCAATTTTCACATTAAAACGGTATTAAAAGCAAACCTTGTTTATACCACTTGTGCGACTAGCAGTATCATTCCAGAATTCAAGTGTCAGCCAGACACGCCACTCATCTTTGTTTGTTGTTTAACGCCGCACTCAGCAATATTCCAGCTATATGACTGCGGTCTGTAAATAATCGAGTATGGACTAGACAATCCAGTGATTGACATCATGAGCATCGGTCCACGCAATTGGGATACGATGCAGGCATCAACGAAGTCAGCGAGTCTGACCACCCGATCCCGTTAGTCGCCTTTTACGACAAGCATAGTCGCCTCTTACGGCAAGCATGGGTTGCTGAAGACCGGATCGTCACGGGTCAGCTGGAGATGTTACCATATTTGTGATCACCACGTTCAGTGTGCCCCGTGGAATTATGCATTATCTTAAGTTATCGTGTGGGATAGTGGTGTACAAAGTTGTGACGCTGCTGGTGTAGAGCTACTGGATGAGTTAAACTGCAGAGGGTTTCTGGGGCAGCGGTGCTACTCCACACTGAACCACACAATAAACAACAAACGTGTATCTGCTTAGGTATGTGCCTTAGCTCAGCCAGCAGCATATAAGTAACCATTTGGATGAGATGGTAATGCGAATGCAAAACCTTCTAATGATTAACAGGCAGCTCGTGTTGTACAGTAGGGTTGTGGAGCTGAGAATGTAATTTGAGTTCACTCTGATCCATGTGACCGGA